TTACCTTTATTTCATTCTCTAATTAAATGTTTCTTCTTTAATAATATTATTAAAGAACTAAAGTATAAGTCACGATTAATAAAATAAGTAAATGCCTTACAGAAAAAAATTGTGTGTCTCTAGTCCCTACTTGCTCAGTGCACTATGGACGCTTCTTTGTATATAATATATTGTTATTTTTTGATATCTGTATGGAATGAATTTATGCTTAATTATAATGCTTATTTATGAATTTAATTTTCCCATTACAAAAAATTGAAATATTATGTAGACAAAAATTTGATATCTACACTGACAGCTAGCAATTAAACTATTAAGCTGAACTGTTTTAATGTTTAAATTATGATTAATGATTTTTAATTTGTTCTTCATTAAAAAAACTAGAATTCGTCCAAAGTTTTTCTAAAGTCGCATATCAAGTCTGTACATTCCTAAATTAGGGTTTAAGTGTATGTCTACCGAAATGTTCACTTTGCTTTATTGTTATTTTTAAACCAACAATAAAAATCATATCAATTTAATTGACGAATTTCAAACCTAATCGGAGTGCATATAATTTTTAACTATTTTGACCCATATTTTTCTCATGAGTCTACACTTATTTCGACTGAGAGCTTATATCTTATTTTGATGTTAAATAGATAAATATATGAAATACATTAAATGATTTTCTACTTAAATTGCAGATCATAATTTGACCAGACTGTCAAATTAAAGTCATCAATCACAATTGTGACTAGTCGGTTTCTGATCATTGCAATTTGCCACAATTTTTATTACTAAAAGTGGCAAAGCTGGCTCCGTGCATAATAGACCTTTATACCTTTATGCATTGGATTTCATTTTATTACGTTTACGATATGAAATGAAAATTTGATTTTTCATTACATGTATCTGAATTAATAAGAATTTTTAGCCTAGGGCCGTTCAACACCCAATGCCGCATAAATTCATAAATTTAAGTTCTGAAAAGTTTGCATAACAATTTTCAAACTGTCAACCGTTGACAAAGCCGAAGACATAAATAATTTTTTTTGCCCAACATCCAATAACTCATTAAGAATGGGCTTAGAAGTTTTATTGGAATTCAAAAAACTTGAACCTTTAATTTTTATATTTATGAGTGTTATGATTCAGTTTATATATGTACAATATAAACCTATAAGTCATATGAGTAACCTTGTATAAGTATTTTATTTTATATTAGCTGTCACATAAATTTTATCCTTTAATTTCAAATATGTTTTCATTGCACTTAATATTTATGAATTATTTATTTTAGATTAACAATATAGTATTTTCTTCATCATCGAAGTGTGAGGAAAATAAAATTGGGTGTACTGGGTTGTAAAAAGTGCCAGGCGTTTTTTAATAAAAATTTATCATTTTTTTATATATTATTTCATTTTATTTTAAATAAATCCAAATATTTCGTATTAGATCGTACCAGATCGATTGGTTCTTGCCTGTAGAGTATTGGACTTTTATCTTCGAAAAGCTAATGCAAATAGTTTTCAACGAGAGAAAATTGTAGAGATCGTTCTAAATATTGATTTGTTGCTACAAGGTTTCAAATTTTTCAAATAATTGCTGTCAAATATTGTCAATTTTACTATAAAAATATATATGACATAACATTGATATAATTAAACAGAACAAGCGTTCTTTTCTGTAAGTGTGGAACCTTATATCATGTCACCACTCTTCTCATTTAGGATGTTTTGATCATTAAGACCGCTAATGAGGATAATGTGCCATACAAAAAACTTTCATATAAATGAGCTTATTATAAATAAATCAACTCATTTAAAGAGAAAAATGTCGAATGCAACCCTTAAAAATATATTTCCCACAAGGGAAATTACCAAAATTTGAAATATTTGTCGTATGTTTTATTTTATGAAATGTAAACAAACAAAAAGTGAGCTGTAAACAAACGTACTGAGAAGTATTTAATAAAATCTTTGTTTTTATTAATTAAATATATATATATATATGTGCATATAAATGATTTGATTTTTTATCAGTCAGTAATAGCTTATCATAGATTAGTACTTTGTAAGTCCTTCAAACAAACAGCATTATCATCCCCATCATTAACCATGGTTTCGACAGTTCGTGTAGCTCCGCCTTGATCAAGATTGTTTTTTACAGCATTATCATATACAACGCTATTCCAAATTTAATTCATACTTTCAAAAAAATAAAATTCTTTAAAACCAACAAAATATTTTGGATGCCTTTTGTATAAAGCCGATAGATGTTTCACTAAAACCAGTTCTAAAGAATGATCTGTAGAATAGGTTCCAGTCCTTAGTCCATAAAGGATCTGCGGTTGAAATCTTATTGCAGTAGTCAAAATCGAAGTTGAAGATTTGAATTTAAAATATGGATATAGCTTATATGAATTTAATATTTAACATTTAGCTAAAATTATCTAATTCAGAACATACGAATATCAGTACTATAATGGAGAAGGCTGTGTTTGATGCAGATGGTGGGGTGAGAGCAACATTATGGGTAGATTTGGTTACCGGTACAATCAACCTTCTGGGTAAAAATGATTACTGTTGAAATGAATAATGTTGGGATTGGTTTGGTCATCATTAAGATAGTCGAACAAAAATTGAGAAAACTTGTGCTTCATGACTGCGGTATTCACCTTGCGAATAACTCTTCCCAATGAAAATACTGTTGCAAAATGTTATGAACGACTTAATTGGACATTTTTACTACATCAACGAACTCGTGCACTCTTATTTATCACTAAATCACGATTTTTATTTACCATATCTTAAGAAGTGATCTTATTTGGATCATCTAGCTGTTCAATATCTTTGACTTATACAGTCAAATTTATACAAATATTGCTAAAATACTTTTGAATCATTCCAAATGAGGGTTTATTTCTTTTTTTAATTTCATTTTAAAATTTCAAAAGGATATACTGAATGACTATTATTATTATTAATAAGACACACCGTATTTATATAGAATAGATATTATAAAGCACGTAGGTGTATTTATATATATCTCTCTGCATGCTTGAATTACTTTATGAAATGTGATTTTAAATAAAATATAATAATAATTTAGTGAAATTAGGTCGAAACCATTCATCAAATTTGGATTGACACGTTGCCAACAATAACATAAGTAATATAAAAACCATTTTGTTATTTATGCTCCACTTTTTTTCCATATAGAATAATTATTGTAAACTATATTCTTTATTATGAATATTGCATAATTTTATATTTACTTGCAAAAATCACAATTATTAATATTTTTACAGCTGTTCTATCG